GGATTTCGTGGTTTAGAGGTTACGGTGTTCGCCTCTTATTAATCAGGTCCCGGGTTCGAAACCTGGCAGCGACAGAAAATTTTCTTCTCTAAATTTTTCTTCCCCCCCCCTCCTTTCTTGTCCTCTAACCGAGTTCTGTCGTCTGCTTTCGTCTTCACTTTCTGCCTCTAGCCCCCCAGGCCCTTCGCCCCCTTCCTCTGGGCTCCGGACTCTTTCTGCAGCCTTTCTACTACAGCTACTCCTTGGCTCCTTCTTACTGCTGTCTTTCAGCCACACGCCTGATCTTATGGTAAGTAAGATCTAACTCCCAGCCCTCTCGGATAAGGGAGAACAATCTCGGAGGTACCGTGTGCAAGGATCCTTTGGTGGTCCTAAAATCACCACCCGGGCAAAATTCAAAAGTTCCTACAAAACACAAAAATTAAATGCAACTCTTTAACCATGCAGTTTAAAATCACGTCTCCGCGTAATTCTCCCGTGTTTGTGAAAATGCGACCCGACAAAATTACGTTTTTAAAAACCTTTGTTTCTTGTCAAACTGATAAATAAAGCATTACCCAGACGTAGAATTCGTTTATCTTTGACTTCCGGCTCAAACTAAAGGCTTGTTAGCTCGTACTTTTTATATTCGAAAGATATTATGTGTCCCGCGAGCTCATATCAAGTTTCTCACAACAACAAATGTTAATGTACATAATCAAAGCCACTAACAGGCTTGGGATCAACAATAACATGGACATCATCAATAGAAGAGAAACAGTATTTCACAAAAAAACCCAGGAAAACAAACAGTGAAACTATGACTGACTGTGACAACAATAGAAACGGCAACAAAGCAACAACAATAATAATAACAACAATATAACAATGATAATAATAATAGATCGCATTTGTATAGCGCAAATGCCCGCTCAACAACAAGCTGTGTGCGCTTTACAATCTATACAATAATAACAGCAGCAAAACAGTAACAACAGCAACAACAACAACGACAACAACAACAACAGCAACAACAACAACTACAACGACAACAACAACAACAACTACAACAACAACATCACACCCCACCTCACCTATCTCACAGAACTGTCCACTGAGGTGAGCACCACAGTAACACAACAACAACAACAGCAACAACAACTACAACTACAACTACACCACCACCACCAC